CCACAATAAACTACAGTTCCCAGGATTCCCTAGCACTGAGCCTGGGCACTTCAAGCAGTCTCAAACTGGATTTATTTCTGCAATGTTTTGGACCTCCTCCTCCAGTGCAGCTCTTCCAAATCAGGCAAAATGGAAGTGTTCTTAGTCACGCATCAATTCATAGGCCCAGAGTGACCAGATCTCCTCAATGCAAAGGAGGACAACAAGAAACACCCTAAAATGTAGGACCTTCGAGGAAAACAAGGGACACGACCAAAGAAAAGCTCCTAGAAATGGAAAAATCCATGATTCTTAGTCAGGCTCAAAATGGAAAGCATTTGGGTATTCCTCCAGGGCAAGAAGGCTGGAATGGAGGATACGTCCTGGAAAAGGAGGACATCCTGAATGGAGGGCGTTTGGGAATTCCTGCAGGACAGGAAGGATGAAATGGAAGACATAATAATAATGATGATAATAATAATAATAATAATAATAATAATATGTCTGGTCACCACTGAATGGAGGGCATTTTGGAATTCTTCCCGGACAGGAAAGCTGGGATGGAGGACAGATCCTAGAAAAGGAGACGTGCCTGGTCGCCCTTGAATGGAGGACATTTTGGAATTCCTCCTGGACAGGAAGGCTGGGATGGAGGACACGTCCTGGAAAAGGAGGACATCTGGGTACCTTGCACAGGCAGATAAATCCCAGCTCGGCCCTGGAAACCCCCCGGGTAACCTTAGTCAAGTCACACTCTCTCAGCCTCAGAGGATGAACATAGCAAAACAAAAACCAACAACCCTGGAACAAACCTTGCCAAGAAAACCCCCCTATGATAGGGTCGCCATAAGTCGGAAAGGGCTTGAAGGCACACAACACCAACAACAAATCACACAAGAGAAGCTAGGCCTAACCCTCCCCTCTTCCCTTTAAAACAGCCACAAAAGGAAACCCCGCTCACCTGCCCTCATTTCCAAGGCAACTTCCAAGAGGTCACATGACCGGGCCCACTCTCTTCCGAGGCTCCAGCCCCGCCTCCCTCTCCCTCTCCCTCTCCCCTCTTCCTCGCGGAGCACTCTGGGAGTTGTAGTCTCTCCGTCGAATTTTCTCCTTTCGCCTCCCGCCCTCCTCAAAGTGTCTTGAGGGAGCCAGAGTGGTTTAGCTGGGTTGAGGAGTGGGCTAAGGCCCTGCAGACCAGACTCAGTAATATCACACTACTGTGCAATTTCAGGGATTATTCCCAAATTTTGGTTCTCCACAGGTGTTTTGGACTTCAACTCCCAGGAGCCCCAGACAACTTGGTCAATATACAGGAATTCTGGGAGCTGAAGTCCAAAACTATCTGGAGGATCAAAGTTTGGGAACCACTGCAACTACATTGTTATATAATAATAA